ATATTATTTTTATGCATTGTTCTAAATGTAGGTGAAATAAGGATTTTGGTATTATTGGGAAAATTATTATAGCAATGATTTAGTTTAAAGTAATTAGGATTGTAATGTAATTTTATTAATTAATGTATGTGCTCATTTATATTTTAAGTAGTGTTTTTGAATTTAATTATATTTTAAATGAATATTTATTTTGTGAATTTTATGTTTGTAGGAATTTGGTATACGTTTTTAGTTAAGTAACGTGCATGGAAATAATTTAAATATCTGACACTAAGTATTTGTAATGGTTTGCGGTATGAATTCGTTGGTGACGTTATAAATAATAGATGATTTAGAGGTAAAAGTTTTGGATATTTATTTATTTATATGTGGAAATTAAATACTTTTTCGCCATCAGGTATTTTATATATGTTCTTTTTTAACGGGTTTAAAGATTGAGAAAATTGTCATGTATTTTCATGAAATTTTTCTAATTTATGAGAAAAAAGCAGTGTACATGGATATAGTGAAGAGTGTGCGCAACGCCATTTTTGTGCAATTCTGGGATGTTTTTTTATGTAAAAATAAGTCGACGTGTACATGGTTTAGTGATATTTTAATTAATGATAGTTGTTGTTGTTGAATTTATGTTTGTAGGAATTTGGTATACGTTTAAGTTGAAGTAAACGTGCATGGAAATAATTTAAATATTTGATACTAAGTATTTGTGTATGCTTGCGGTATGAATTCGTTGGTGACGTGTATAAAGTAATAATGATTTAGAGGTAAAAGTTTGTGGATATTTTATTTATTTTATATGTGGAAATGTTCATATTTGGAAAGGGTAAATACTTTTTTCGCGATCAGGTAATTTCATATATGATCTTTTTACCCGGGTTTAAAGATTGAGAAAATTGTCATGTATTTTCGTGAAATTTTTCTTAATTTATGAGAAAAAAGCAGTGTACATGGATATAGTGAAGAGTGCACAGTGGCCATTTTTGTGCAATTCTGGGATGTTTTTTTTAAGTAAAAATAAGTCGGCGTGTAACATGGTTTATTGGTATGTTTTTATTTTGAAAAACGCGTAAGGAGTCTATGGTATTGTGCACTTTTTCCCAATTTTGCAGTGAATATTGTCATGATTAGCAGTTTTGTTAGATAAAATTCTAGCATAAGTGTAATTCGGCTAGTAGATTGTTGGAAGAAGTGTTCAGTAGATAAAAAGAAAAGAAACATGTCTTTACTTCGTGAAGACAAAATGGCGGCGGGGAAAAAAAATAGAGGGTTGCTGTAGGAGAGTTGGTCGCCAAAAAATCGCCAAGTTACCATAATGTAAAGATCAACCGAAACATGTCTTTACTTCATGAAGACAAAGTGGCGGCAAAAAAAAAAAAAAAAAATAGAGGGTTGCTGTAGCAGAGTTGGTCGCCAAAAAATCCCCAAGTTACCATAATCCAAAGATCAACCATTTTTTAAATGATTAAAACCTGAAGCTGTGCATATCTGTATATATTTTAGGAGCAGAAATCATAATGGTACTGAAATTAAACTTGGACATGAATGCCACAACATACGATTACAAAGAATTAATAAATTTCAATATTAAACCTTGTTTTAATACCCATTTGAATAAAACAGTCATGATTTATTTAAAACAAAAAAAAAAAAAAATCTGAATCGTATTTTACCAGAAGTAAAAACATAAGATTTTATCTCTAGTAGTGAAATTAGAAGTAAAATTTGTGTCTTTTACCATCCATTGTATTTTTATATTTAATGGGAAGGAGGATATTTTAAATGCATTCCACTATTAAAACACTTCACTAGCAAAATAAATAAGAAGTATGTTTTAAAATGTTATATTTCATTATTTCATGCTTTATTTTATTTTTATTATCTTCAGTTAAGTATGCTTTTAGATAACCTACAAACTTATTCCCTTTTATTGAGCGGGTTTTCAGATCTAAATATATGAAACTTTTGTATTTTTTATATGTCTAGATATTTTATTGTTTGTATATGTTTAGATTGTTAATAAGGATATTTATATGAATTCTAACAAGCACCTAATTCAAGTATTTTTCTACTTATATATATTTCTAATTAAACTAGCTAAAAATTTAAATTTTTTACATATATTGAAGAAAACATTTTTTTTACGAAAGTATATTTGTAAAAAACATACAGTCAAAAGTCGTTAATCCAGACTCATCGGGACTTCATCGATCCCGAATAATCGATTTTTCCGAATTATAGATCATCAGTTTAAATCTGGTAAGATGGCATGCAGAAATTATACAGTTAAAAATATGAAACCGTAATTTATGAAATAAAGAACAATTATGATCTAAAGGGTATCAAAATTTACAAAAAGAAAAGCTTAATATTTATTTGTTTACTTTATTAAACATTTCTTTCAATGTAAGTTGTTTAAGTTGCTTCGTTTTATGTGATAATGCCTTCTCTAAGTATATAAACAGACATAATTTCTTGTTCAGTTACAAAGTTCCGCTGTTCAAGTCCTATAATTGCTGTGTCTACCGACTAATTTGTCAATCGAAATTTTTTCGTTTTCAATAACCTCTGTCACTTTCTTCGCTATTAGAAGCGAATTATAATGACGAGGAATTTGATTTAAATCATATCAACGACGGAGTACATCGAGATGAAATACTACATTTAATAAGGAATTATAAGCCAAATAAAATTGAAACATCTGCCCTGAAGATAAGGATATTGCTGACAGATCAACTTCCAATTGATTGCGTGCCGTCCCCCCCCCCCAGCCACAGAGCAGCGTGAAATTGATAAACAGATTTCGGAATGGTTAGAAAAACAAAGGATATGCCTACATCCATTTTTTGCAGCAATTCCACTTTTTGTTTAATGGACTTCGAAACATACTTTCGCTTTGTAGATCCTTTACGTATTAGTAAATATATATCGGAAATTCTATTTGACATAATCGAAAGTTCAAGCTTACTTTTATAAAATTGCTCTAACAGTCTGCAAAAAATAATAAGCTGGATCCAATTCGAAGATTAAGGAACAACGTAATCTGCAACATTAACTGAATTAGATAATTTTAGCTTATACCGTTCGTTATACATTAAATGCGCATGCGTAAACGTATTATGCACATGCGCACACGCATATTCGCAGCCGTAAAGGTCTTATAGGGCATGCGTCAATGAGACGCATGCGCAGAAAGTTTGTAGCTTTTGAGGTCCGGATTATGAGTGTCCGAATTAACGACTTTTGACTGTATTAGTTTTAAACATGTACTGTTTATAGCTAATAATATTCCTAATATTTAGTTGGTAATTCCAATTTGGATGAAGTCATTTCGAAACTAGAAACGCCAGCTTTCAGTCCTATGGACCGAACATTTCAGGAGCCATTGCATCAAAATAAAAAGTTACGTTGGGATCATAAGGTAGGAATTTTTTATATTTTTTGATTATTTGATAAAATTAATGCTTTTATAAGAATATTCAATATTATTTTTATTAAATATTTATCTCTGAAAATTGGCATGTATTTTTGCAGGTTAATTTGATAGGAGAGAAAGTAATTGACCCTTTGATCCATTGTTGCTCAAAATGTTTATTACCAATTTTAAACTATGGACGAATGGTAATTAACTTTTTTCTGTGTTAACTTGGTAGCTTATAAACTAAAATTATGATACAATTTTTCTGCTGTGTTAGCTAAATATTTTGCAAAAGTGCTGCTTACCTTTATTTATAATGTAATATTTATTTGTGGGTTAAAATTGAAAACTGTATGTACATTTTAATTGTGAAAAATATGATTTACAAAGTTTACATATATGGTCAATATATTTTATTACAGGAGTGTTAATTTCATTTTTATTTATTTCATATTTTTCAGTAGAGAAGTATCTAATTACTGTTAATTAAAAGAATAGCATAGTAATGGAAAATGTACGATGTCACAATATATCCACCATTTAACAATAACTCCTGAATATAGCAATGTACTATTTTAAGCATGAAACTTTTTTTTTTTTCCTTTTGATTGTCCGCACCTTTGGTTTTAAAATTCAGTAAAAATGCTGAATTTTTGTTGTCATTTTGAGTTTATACATAACAACCAACCTTGCATATATGTATCATACACGTGTTTAAATACACATTCATTTGTGCTTAATGTGTTTTATGTTTAACTGAGCAATGCCTTCCAGCTGTAAGAATATAAATATCAGCAATATAGATTTTTCCTCAAAAAATTGCTTTTCTTGGTACAAATCAGTTATAGGGACTGTAAAAAATCGCTAAATTATTGTTGATGCCAAAAATTATTATGGTAACCCTAACTCAAAAAGGAAAGAGAATAGTAAATAACTATCTAAGATTATTATTTCAATTTTAATGGAAGGTTAATTTCATATAATAATTTCTTTTTACTATTTTGATTTATTAAAGGCCTAAACATAAGTGAAGTTAAACAGGAGGCATAAACTTTTTTATATCTTCCAGCATTGTAGAGAAAATTTCAGTTTTTTGGTGCAAATGTCTGTACGTCAATTCGGACAAATAAGAATCAAAATGCTGTAAAACAGTGCCTAGATAGCATTTATTATGCCATTATAACAGCTTAAAAAACACAGAGCACTGCCCCAACACTGACATGGCTACCGAGGTTCACATATCCCTGTGAAACGTAGACTAATGGAGAAAAACTCATCCTTCTCCATCAGCCTGTAAGGTTGCCATACAGGTTGAGACTGTCTTTCGCCAGTTGGTGGTTTTCTATGCAGTTTTGAGTTTGTATCACCTGTTTGGCGATGCCGCTGCATATTCCCTCCACGGTATCAACGAGATGTGACATACCGATGCAGCGATTGGATCAATTGTCCAGAACAGGTAGTACAAATGTCTGAGCTTTTTTTTTTTTTTTTTAACTCTGGGAAACAACTTGAAAAGAGTCAATAGTTATAAAAGTAGATTTAAGTCTATCTATGGATTATTTGCTAAATCCCTTTTATTTTGAAATCAAATGTTTTGTCTCATCTTACTAGACTTTAAATGGTTCATCGTAAGGAGTTTGAAGTGGCTTTCTTCAAACTCCTTACGATGAACACATGCGTGGACTCATTAAATCGAGGATGAACGAAACAAGTTCATTAGCCGTGGCTGGAAGGTGTCGGGCGAACACTTGCAAAGTGGGATTTAATGTCCTCCACAAACTGTTTGAGAAACGTATCCATAAGTGTTGGATCAAAAAATTCTCTTGGGATAAGAATAGTCTTTCCGTACACCCACTCAGAAGTGGCTGCCATTATGTGCTTGAGAGCAGAGGGGAAGGTTATCAGGAGCGTTGGAAAGGCCGCCACACTTAGTGACTGGTCTCGTACGCTTTTAAGACAGCTTTCAAATGACTGTGAAACTCCTCGATAAGTCCATTCTCGTGTGGGTGGTATGGAGACATCCTGATCCTCTTAATTCCCAACAATTGTGAAAGGATTTGAAATAATCCGCTTTCAAACTGTTGTCCTTTATCAGTAGTAATAACAGCCGCACAACCAAATTGAGTAATCCAGTGGTCATAGAAAGCCTGTGGTACTGTGCATGCAGTTATGTCTGGTATGTGTACCGCTTCAGGCCATCTAGTAAACCTACCTATCATAATTAAATGGTCATAATTATTCTGAGAGGAGGTAGCGGATCAACAAGGTCAAGGTGGACATGATCAAATCTCTGTGATTGGTCTGGAAACTTTATTAACGGTGTTCTAGTATGTCTGCTTACTTTTGCTTTCTGGCATGAAATGCTCTGCCACGCCCAGTTTGCGCAATCTTTACAGATGGAAGACCAAACAAACCAAGAACATGTTAACTTTGTTGATGCATGAATGCTAGGGTGAGGCAAATTGTTCAAATTTGCGAAATGTCGAGGGGATATAACGGCAAGCGGCACCTATGAGAAATCGCAATATATTGATAAGCTACAATTCGGTCAGGTAATTTTTTTGAGTTTTAAAACTTTTGAATCGTTAAGTAAAGTTTAATTCTGGATCGATTTGTTGCATTTTAGCAATTTCTCATAGTCGATAGGGTTAAGCATGCTTACAGCTTCTGTGCACGAAAGTGCGTTGGTATCGATTTTTTTCAATCCTTTTATATAATGAATTTCAGTTGTGAATTAAAGTCTTAACTGCCTAGCCTGACGGTGAATACTTTTTCAAACGCTGTCAAAGTGCATACATAAGTGGCTTGTGATCGGTAATTAAAGAAAAATTCTGTGCTTCCAACATATGTTTAAAATGCCTAATAGCAGCATGAGCTGCTAATAGCTCCCAATCGTAAGCACTATACAGTACAAAGTCTTTAATCCAGACTCGTCAGGACTTCGGCGATTCTGGATTAGGGGTTTTCCGGATTATAGATCATCAATTTAAATCTGGTAAGATGGCATGCAGAAATTATAAAATTAAAAATATGAAACCGTATTAAAATCCTAAAATTCTTTGTGAATTTTTTACCGTTTTAGGGTGTGGGTAGTTAAGTATCAGTTCAACTTTGTTAGGCAGAGGCTTGGTACCGTTTTTATTGATTGAATGTCCTGAGAAATATTTCAGGAGCACCAAAAACACATTTTGCAGTGTTAATTGTCAATCCGTATGAAGTTAATCTTTAAAAAACAGTTTGTGAGATTTATGATCGTCTTCTGTATCACTAAATATCAAAATATGATATAAGTAGACATACGGAAATTTTAGATCCCTAGAATTTCATTCATAAACCTTTGAAAGGTTTGAGCTGCTCCGTACAGTCCAAAATTTAAAAACAGAAATTCAAAAGGTTAAATGGGGTGCAAACTCAATATGATCTGGATGTACTGATATATGATACGCCTTAACAATATCCATTTTTGAAAAAAATTTCTTTCTGCTAAGCGTATTATTAAAGTCTTGTAAATGCGGGTTCAGTACAGGCATTTACTTTTCGGTAGTCTCCTATTGGCCGTATGTCACCCAAGCTTTGAGAAACGACATGAAGAGGTGATGACATACTGATTTTGATGGTCTGCAAATAGCTTTGTCCATCATAAGTTGGAATTCTTTTTTATTGTAACGTATAACTTAGGGCTTAACACAAAGAATTCAAGGAAACATAATAAATGAATTATGCACATTTACCAGTCTTAATGTTTAGGGTACTGACCATAATGCAGTTTTAAAATTGAAACTAATTGTATTGATCTGTTTTTCATTCTACAGATTCCTTGCAAACATGTTTTTTGTTATGACTGTGCCAAAAAAGCTGAAAAACTTTGCCCAAAGTAAGTTTTCTCTTATTAATAATCCATTTGTTATTGTATGCATACATAGATGATATATATTTTTATTATCATATACAGATGTGAAGAAAAAGTACAGAGAATTGAGCAAAGTGCTTTGGGTACAGTTTTCATGTGCACGTTTGGAGGGTCTCGGCATGCACCTGGTTCTTGTGGACGAACATATTTAAGTCAACGAGATCTTCAGGTATGTAACAAAAATGTGAAGAATGCATTGAAATATCTTTTTTTAACTGAAATATAATGTTAAAATTATTTCTGCTGTTAACCCGTTCGCGATGGGCACCTCTGTTACCGAAGTCTTTCTCTTGGGACGGTGTGTTAACTGGATGCATCGTCCTGTGGAGACGGGCAATTTACGCTGCTAAGCCTAACTTTGGAAAAATATTCGTATAAATGAAATTTATCATCCAATTTTGGATACATTATGAGAAGAACATTTAGGTAGTCAACAGAATTAATTTTAAGCCCTTATTATTATATTATCCTTAAAAATTTTATAAAATACTCATTCTAGAATAATATCATTTTCCCCTTATCTCACAAATAAATATATATGGAAAAATATCCAAACAACGAAAAGTAAGCGATGTTTCAAAATAAGACAGTGTATGATATTCTTTGAAACATGGGTGTACAAAGTCCAACATTGCATTAGTCACAAGAATATAACATCTGCTCTTTTACTCAGCAAATTTGACTCATTTAGCATTTGTATATGTTCTAGGGTCAGATAGTGCTTTCGTTTGCCATTTAAACAAAAAAAAAAAACTTTCGCTAAGCGATACAAAATATTCAATGCTGGAAAACTCAAAGAGTAATAAAAAAGTCTCTAATGATAGAACATCTACTCTACTATAACCGATAAAAAAATAAAAATAAAAAAAATAATAAATTAAAAGTATTCCAGAGCATCAAGAACATGTTCATTTGTTTATATAAATGACCCAGTAAGAGCCATTACATTACCCAACACTAAAGAATTAGCAATTGTGTATATTCTACGTTTAGATACTGCTTTCGTTTGCCATTAAAAAAAATATATATTTTGCTGACTATTAAAAATATTCATCTCAAAGTACAAAAAATCTAAGAGTAATAAAAAAAAGGAAAAATGTAAGAGTAATAAAAAAAAAATCTCTAATGATAGAACGTCTATCCCACTATATTGCAAAAATAAAAAAAAATAAAAAAGTTAATAAATTAAATTCAGCAAGTATTCCAAAGCATTGAGAACATGTGCATTTGTTTATATCAAATGACACAGTTAGAAACATTACATTGCTCAACACCCACCCAAAAATCTCGCTCTCATTCTGAAACAAAATACCAAAAATAAAAATCATTGCATAGGAATGAAGGTAAACTTACTTAACTTTCGATATATTTCCCTATAACAGGCATACAGCTACATCTAGGGGCAACAAAAAATATGAATTAAACGTTCTATCTAAAAAGTCAAATATGATACACCCAGCCGGTAGAGTGAATAAAATGGCGCTTAAAATATGACATACCCGGCCGTGAGGTAATGTTCGCTGCTGATGCACATATGACATGCCCATAGTGAATGGGTTAAGGCTCTAATAATAATTGATTTTCTCAAGAATACCTCACCTTTACAAAAGTCCTTTCTAAGAGGAATTCTTAAAATAAGGTATAATTAGTAATCAGAATTTTATGACCAAGATCATATTGACATTGTAAAACAAAGATCAGTTAAGGGTCAGATAGTTATTTTATGTTGGATGAAAATTTTTTGATGGTATTAGATAAAATAAGGTATAAGTAAATTTTTATCATCATCGGAACATCTGTCTGTATAATAAATCTGAGTATTATAGAAGCTGTTTTTTATGATAAAGGTTTTTCTTATATATATTATAATTAATGGATTTTCCTTATTAGCATTATGAGTTTTCCCACTTTCTCACTTCATACTTTTCTAATGCAACTGATAGCACGTCTGGCAAGCAATTGGTGAATCCAGAGTTTAAATCCCAAAGAGGATGTAGTGATTTTTTTTCCTCTTTCCTATATCCAAAAAATAATGGTTTCCTAAATTGTGCTTGAATTGAGATAGTTCTTCCTACCTTACTTCATGATGTAATTACTAGCACATCTGGTTAGCAGCTAGAAGATCCAGAGTTAAAAACCACAGTAATACAAATATTGGAAATGCCTAATATAAACTATAGCATAATCCAAAAGTTTAAGGGGCAAACTTCCTGATAGTTTCTTAAGACATGACTAATTTTCCCTTCAGCATGTAATGCCACAGTCCCTTTGAAATGTTATTGAACATGCAGCCAGTTATTGGAAAGAACCAGATCGGATGAAGTTGAGCTAGTTGGTTATTGTCGCAAGTTGCTGTGAATAAATATCATCACCATCAGTTGGTTGTGTGACCATCTTTCAAAACCTTACTTATGGTTTCATCACCAATGAGCATTAGGTTGTTTTGTAATTTCATAAACTTTGTAAATATTTTTGAAGTTAGAGACAGAAGTTCATGATAGTATACTGCTTGTCAAGTCATCAAATTTGAAAACTGCAGGACATGCACTATAAATTATTTCTTATCTAATAGATATAACATATTTATTAATCACAACAAAAATATATGGCTACTGTAAATGAGAAATTTCTTGCAAAGGCATCGTTATGCAGTATCGCTTATATGTGTGTGTGTGTATATATATATATATCTTAAACAATTTCGCACTAATATATATATTAGTTAGTGTGAAATTATTTAAATAGGTATAAAATTCAAAAATTTTGTAAGCAAATTATACATAGCTAAAATTATAAACATTAAAAAAGAATTAAATACATGAAAAAGAATGATTCAGTTTGTTTATTGGATAATCATTTGCCTGACGACATGATTTCCCAACATTATTGTTGCTTCACTTTATGATTGTTCCCTATACAAATTGTCCAATACTATGATAGAAATGCTGTTATTAATAATTGGTATATATAATTGATATTAATAATGATGACAAATTAATTTAAATCTGCATTGAAATCTGACAGATTAAAATTCATCTGGTTTATGAATTGTTTCTTTATTGAAACAAGTTTGGAAATGATAAATTAATTGGCTCAGAGCATCTAATTTTTCTTTAATAGTCATTTCATTTTTCAATCTTTTGAATAACATTATCTTTGTTTTTATGTGTTATGACCTTCTAATTTAATTTCAGTTTTTGTAAATCAACTTTTTAATGCATGTTTCGATGCACGAGAATTAGTTCTTATACCAAATTTGTATATATAAATTAAACATAAGGTGTGCAGAAGCAAAATTTAAAAGTTCAATTAATAACAGATAAGAGCTCATCTTATCTGGGGCTCTCACCTCAGTTATGATTTCACATTAAAACTGAAAAATACCACAATTGGAGAGGGGACTGTGGCTGAATTTAAGCCTTGAAGAACATGTCAGGCAATCATTATTAAAGAATCAAATCGCACCCAAAAATAATTAAATCAGAAACCAAGGACTTTCCATTTAGGTTTATTAAAATGACATGGATTGTCATGTGAAAAATATGTTATGAATAAAATCATAATCATCAGATATATGCAATTTCTTGATCCATGTGAAATCTGTCAATTTGTCTGTGTGGTATCAAAAATAGCTGTAAACATCATTTTTTTAATAAAATATCTCCCTTTTCTTAATGAAAGTTCACAAGGCTTTGGGGTTAAAGCTTTGGATGATTTTTTATTTATCTGGAATTTTATCCTTAGTGCATCTTCACTCAGTACTCCTCCTATAGTATGGTTAATAATTTGAGTAATAAATTTCACTCAGTTCTGATTGTTTCAATATTAAATGTTTTCAAAAGACTTTGTGCTAAAATAATGCAGCCTTAATGTTCCCTCTGAAATATGTACTGTCTAAATGAACAGTAATTGGTCATGTACGTTCACCGAAAGATGTGGCAGAATCAGAGAGGGAGTTTATCCTCAGTTTTTATAATAGCCATATCACATGATTCTCATGCTACCTGTTTTAATTTTTTATTTTTTAATTTCATTCCTAAGCCCATTTATAATGAATGAGAAATGAAAATCTGATACTGATTGCAATAAACCAGGGTTTCTTAAACTTTTTTCCAGTCATGACCCCCTTTTATCATCGAGATTTTTTCGCGCCCTTCAGGACCTCATATTAATTAAAAAAATTTCGAGGGACCCCCATAAGTATTGTGCAAATCCAACACGTGCGTGAGTGAAACTGTCAATTTTTTCACTTGTACTGTAATATACTATTGCAGTTTTAGGTCATTAACTTTAATTTCTAATTTTAAGACATAGAACAATATGAAAATTGTAAATAAGTAACACTAAATGACAGCATCGTGTGCAAAGCAAAGAAAATGAACGTTTATATTATAAAAAGAATGCATTGAAACGTTTTCGTTTTTTCTTTGTCTGTATTGTCTTTATCTATTTTCAGATACGTTGTGTAAAAATATTTAGTAACTGAAAAATTATTATAAGTTAATGAAATATCAAAACTGCTAAAATTTTTGGCAACCCACAGTTAAGAAGCGCTGCAATAAACCAAATCTAGAAATCATTAAAATTCTTGAGGATAGTACATTATATGCGAAGATTTCGAGATTTAAAAAAAAAAAAAGTTAAGTCATCAGCTCAAAAACTCAAAAAATTGTGAATGATAGCAAGAAATATAAGGAGTATGGATTACCTACAAGTGCTTTTGCTTTCAAGAAATTTTTAAGGATAAGTTTTTGATGTTAAATATGGAAAGATTTCTTTCACTTTTGATTAAGGACTGTAACCAAAAAAGAATCCCTAAAGTCAACTAGAAATTAAAACAAAAGCGTCAAGTCTTTTTTCTGCACTTAAAGAGAAACAGTCTGAAAACAAAACTGATGAAAATTAAGCAAATTGTCAAAATGTTCCAATTGTAGATAAAAACACAAGTGCAGATAAAGAAGCAGCATAAATGCAAAAAATATTAAGGGGAGAAGAAAGCAAGCTCTCATAGACATAATGTAAACCAGTCTGACTAGCCTCAAGCGACTTTCAAGTCGAAGCCAGCATGTAGTGAAGCAAACACGCAGGGTGCTGGCAAAATTCCTTCTACCTTAAATGTTAGTGAGGTACAAAGTATAAATCTGCTATTTGAGAAATAGCTTTTCCTCT